AAAATAATTAAAATAATTAATCATATTTATTTCAGAGTGATCATGACCAAATTCTTTCTTTCGGTCCCCAACTCCGGAAATCTATCTCTAGGTACCAATACTATTTATTCATCACGAGGAATTCCTCTAATTTTTCTTAAGTCAAAAGTCAACCTCTAGACCTTTGACTTTGACATTTCTTGGATAGTGTATAAATAGACTTTAAATTTCATTAAAGCCAACCTCTTCACTTGCTGGGGATGGAATTATTTTTAAAACCTGTGATAATTCCTCAAGTATTTTTTTCCATTTTCTTCCAATTATCTGAGGCCTCCCTATACTGTAAATAATTCATTTTTGAAAATATTTCAAATCAGTCAAAAACCTGGGAATTCCACAAATTCCTTCGATGGGCATTTTCATCATTTTTAGCCTCATACAAGCCTTCGAACCTTATTTCCATTTTTCTGGAATTTTTCTAAGATACTCAGGCCTTAACCTACCATTTCCCATTTCCTAGGATTTTTCTGCAATTTTCAAACATAATTTTTATTTTTACCCTTACTAGCCCTGAACTTTATACAATTACAATTTTGCCCTTGGTTTGACTTAACCTCAAAATTCACCTCGTTGAAGTCGCCTCCAACATGACTATTGGCCTACATTAATCTCTATTTCTCATTCTTGGGCCTCGACACTTCACTAGAGTCTCTAAATTTTTCTTTTTTCAATCTCAGAAAACTTTTCCTTTGCGATTTAGTCCCTAGGAATCCCTCTATTCCTCCAAGGAACTTCTGAGACCTTTGCCAAAAACAGTTTGGCAACCTGCTCATTTTAGGCTAATTTCGGTACTTCTAGGCCTAAAATTTGGGATGTGACAACTGTAACACCTTATGTTTATACCAATTAACTTGCCTTGCGGAAGCATTTGGAATCACTTTTGAAGACTACAAGTTATGAAAAATCAAGTTTGAAAATTTCTTTTGCGGATTACTATTCATTGTAACCCAAAAATGTGGCAAACTTCGAAAATTCATAACTAATTGTAGAAAAATCAAAATCGAGTTATTCTAAGTTCTATGGAAAGCTCTTTAGATAAAAATTTGAGAGAAAATAGTTTCTGAACTGATTGCCTTAAAGTTCGAACCCAGTTTTTCTTGAAAAAGTTACTGTTCATATGGTCATTTTTTCATTTTCCACTTATTTTAGCCCAACTTTGGAAGGGCATAACTTCTTGTGTGGTTATCAAGTTCAGGTGAATTGGCTCTCATCTTAAAGAGAAAAATCCTATCTATTTGCTCACTGAATCTCATGGCTATACTCACTCAATTGCTTAATTTGACTTTGGTCAAAGTTTAGGTCCATAATGTTGACTTTTATCCCCCTTGGAAGGATAAATTGTCTTACTTGACCAAGTACTTGCATACTAATTCTCCTACCATATAATCATGCATATTGGACAACACTAGCATGCTTTCACATATTAACACATAAGCTAGCATATATCCATAACTTAAAACCTTAAAGCATACTCTTAATTACATTCATCCAACATAAGGTTTTTCTTCATTCTTCTTCTTCTTCTTGAAGCAAACTTAATTCTCCACTATAGCTACTTCTTTTCCTTTGCTCTTAGAGGTTGAAGGCCCTAGGGTTTGTTAAATATGGGGGTAAGATTCTCAGGGAATCTTAGTAGCACATTGCATACACTACTATGGTTACACATCACAATGTAATTCAAGCTACATGCATACATACATACTTGAGTATTATGTACTTGCCATGGAAAAACATAACATCATAACATAACATATCATCTCAACCTCGCATAAACCAAGGTATACATGCATGGAGGCATCATGGCATAACATCATAACACATAGCAATGAACATACAATGTATAGTAACTCTAACAAGCAATGGAATGCAAAAGCTACCTTGTTGGCTTTCCTTCCTCTTGAACTCTTTTCTCTTGACTAGATCTTTGCCCCTTTGTTGTGTATAGCCTATTAGGCAATCAATGACACAACATTAAGCATTACTTCAACTCCATAACTTAACATAACCCCTTAAACCCCTTTTTTCTTGACTTTTAGGGTTTATTTTTCTAGCTTTGATTCTTGAACTTTCTTGGGCCTTTCCTACATAATTTTCCATATAGAATCCATTTATCATATTAGTTTTATAAAAATCCAATCCCTTCCCATTGACTTAGCTTGGCCGAACCATATATGTTTGTAGGGAAAAGGATTTTCAACCAAACTAACATGTAACCACTTAATCTTTAACCTTTAACCATGCTTAATCTTCATCTAAACCATTCCTTATCATTTTGATAAAATTTGGGCAGCACTTCCCCTTAGGAAAATGACTTTCTATCATCATTAAAATAGCCTAAAACTAACATACCATCATTATAACTTGAAATGGAAGAGTTTTAGAAGCTTACCTTGCTTCCAAATGACTTTCTCTCACTAGAATTCTTCTCTTTCTCTCTCTACACGAAAATTTGCAAGAGGTTTCCTACTTGAAAGGTCTTGCATGAAATGAACATGTGAGGGGGTATTTATAGGCTCCATATTTCACTAATTCCACATATGCCCTTCTTGCATAAGACTTAATCTTAGCCCTCCAATTTTGACCCCTTTCCACATGCACAAATCTTAGGCTATGTGGCTTAATATGTTGACACTTGGATGGTGAGTCATTAGGGCTTATGTCATCGTTCTTATCCATTAAGATTAATTAGGCTTTAATCAAGGTTAATTCTCTTAATTCCTTGATTAACTTAGCTAATTACCCTTCTAGAAACTTTTGACTTTTCAAAGATAGATGGTTAAATCCTAGCCATCCAATGAACCATGTTTGCCATGTGTCACGATCCTACGGAAGATGACTTAACCATAATCATTTTACTTATCTCTAATTAAATTTTAATCTAACTTGATTTCGTATTTCCTTTTCCTTTTCCTTTTTATTTTCTTTTTCCCTTTCTTGGCCAATTTGGGCGTGACATGTGTCCTTGACATTCTGTCAGAAATTTTACCACCCCGGTTGTCCTGACAGTCTACTGAATCGTAATATAACATTGGTTTATTTTATCTGATAGCCGAAAAATTCTAGTATCTCAGAATTCTTATATCAGATCACCATTAATTATATATCATTAAAGGAAACTTCCTTGATTAATTTCATAATTTTTCTCCCCATATAACTCTTTAAATTGCCGTTTCCGTAAAAACAGACAATCTACCAATATTAATTTAGCTTTATATTCAATTAAAGCTAACCTCCTCATCATTTAGGGTTAGAAATAATTTTATAAATCTCCATAATTCCTAAATGAATTTCCTTTAATTTCTCATAATTTTCTAAGATCTCTAGGTATTTTTAACAATTGATATTGGCCAATAAAAGGCACATATATGGCGCCACCTTAGAGGAGCAGAGGGGAAAAAATAGTCAACACTATTGACCAATTAGTCAACCTTATTGAGTCACATAGTAGAAATTTTGCTCTACCGGGTAAATAGGGAACTGTCTAACACTTACCCGTATTGCATTCTAATTTTTCTACTGCCCATAAAATATCTTCTGGTGACTCATACGATGACTCATCACCCTCATAAATGAAGTACATGGGAAAGAATAAGAGAATTCAAGTTGAGAACTTGTCTTCCTCAAAATATCTGAGATATTTTCTAACTTTGTCTCCTAATTAAGGGATATTAATTATTTAACATTTGATTGGAGCATTTTATCCCATCCTGAACTCCAAAAATTTATCTATTTATACCATAAAATTCATCTAATTCTGTAGAAAATTTATGAATTTTCTCATATCATAACTCAGACCATAAGTATTTCTTTTTAAATTTCCCATAACAAACCCATAAACTGCAGTTCTGGCATTAAAAAATGTTAAAGCCATTATGCTGGCCTTCAAGGGTTGAGACTAATTTTATAAATTCCATAGCCTCTTAGATCATATATCCCCATTTTATCATAACTTTCTGAGGTTTCCTTATAACCCAAACAATTAAATCTACCTCTACATTTCAAACTGAGCCATAAACTTATAAATTCCTTTTAAGTCAACTCAAGGGCATTTTCATCATTTCTCTTCATATATAGGCCTTAAAATGTCATTTTCTATTTTCTGGAATTTTCTAGAATTTTTTGGGTATTACTTCCATTTTTACCCATTCTTAACCCGAAACTTTCTAAAATTACAATTTTGCCCTTGGTCAAGTAAACCTCATAAATCCCCATATTATGGCCTCTATTATAACCTTTGGTCTGAACTAACCTCTTTTCTCATTTCTGGGCCTTGAGACTTCACTGAAGCCTCTAACTTTCTTTACATTTTAGTCCCTAGAACTTTCTCTATTTACAGTTTAGTCCCTAAAATCCTTCAACATTCTTTTTACATTTCTGGGACTCCTGCTCATAGGGATTTAGTAGCCTACCTATCTTAGACTAATCTGTATATTCTTAGGCCTAAAACTTGGGGTGTGACAACAACAATCCTGTTTCACACTTATATTTCTCTGTGCCACTGATGTGGTCCTCATTTTGAATTGTTCTATTATTATTTTGTCTGGGAAAATGTGTGTAAAGTATACAACTTTGCTACGCATGTGTGATAATGAAAAAATTAAAACATTATTTTATAAGAGTTTGTTTTCCTTGGTGGTGAAGAAACTCTTTTCTTTTTAAAATTAATCGAAGAACATTATTCGCACATCTAAATGTAATATCACATTATTAGTGAGCCTCTTTCAGGTGCATTATATAAAATATAACGAAGGAGTCATACTTCTCGATGACGAACATATAACAAAACATTTTTTAAAGTTCTCTCATTTGAAATATTGATATTGTTACATTAATCTGTTCCTTTCTCATTATTTAATCCCTCCAACCAATCGTTGGAACGCAAGTCCTGCAGGAATTTTTCTATATAAAGGGTGGCATTAGGCTCTCAAGAATCCAACAAACAGCAGGAGCAACTCCTATTGTTGGAGTTAAAGAAACATGGAAACCCTAATGGCTTCTGCTACTCTCACTCTGTTGCTGCTGCTTGTGTCCCTAAGCATCTTGCCATCTGAAACCTCTGCAGATTATGTTTACCCATTTCCTCCTCCTCCAATGAAAAAACCCTATTACAAGTATCCTTCTTCTCCACCACTGCCGAAGAAGCCCTACATGTACCCGTCTCCTCCTCCGCCACCAAAGAAGCACTATGTTTATTCGTCGCCTCCACCACCACAGAAGAAACGATACATGTACCCGTCATCTCCTCCACTGAAAAAACACTGTGTACCCGTCGCCTCCTCCACCGCCAAAGAAACACTATGATTACAAGTCTCCTCCTCCACCGAAAAAACACTATGTGTACCTGTCGCCTCCTCCACCGCCCAAAAAACACTATGATTATAAGTCTCCTTCTCCTATGAAAAAACGCTATGTGTACCCGTCGCCTCCTCCACCACCAAAGAAACACTATGACTACAAGTCTCCTCCTCCATTAAAAAAACACTACGTGTACCCGTCGCCTCCTCCACCGCCAAAGAAATACTATGTTTACAAGTCTCCTCCTCCACTTTACAAGAACTATATGTATCCTTCACCAACCCCTCCTTACCACTACTAGATCCAGCGTTTTCATTGCTCGTGCTACTTGGTGTGTATAAGCTTAGTTCCCTCTCTCACTCCGCTACTTATTAATTTCTCATACTTCAGTTCATGAGGCGTAAATAAAGGAATTGATGCTTTTGTTTTAATTTAAACTACAACATGAAAAATTAGTGCTTTTTTTTTGAAGTACCAATAATGTGATATTAACGAAGATATATGCATACATGTTATGGTATATTTTATTTATTATCAATTTATTTAACTTGAAACTTCTTTAAATATTATATATACAAATATCTAAAACTAATTTAACCAAAATAATTGATTTTGGTGTAAAATGCCCATAAAAACTTTATCGAAATTTTATTCTGTTGAATTTTCTAATATACATTTCATCGGTGACTACATAGAGGCCAACGGAGTGGACTAATGGATTTATATGAATATTTTGTCACAAGATCTAATAATATATATTATCTGTTGGAAATTGTGCCCTAGGGGCCAATCATTATGTTTGAACATTGTTGATTTATGAATTTATTAATTACGTTATCATATTATTTGCATGTTTACTGTGATGACTATCCTTGGATAACTCATGATTTATCCTAAATGTCCCTGGTCGGTTATCTATGTGGGAGCAGAGATGAAATAAGGCCAATATGACTTTAAAGATATATAGAGATATAAATTAAAGTCATAGACACATGTAAGAGTACAAAGTGTTGGACCGACCCGCTATGAGAGAGCTGCATGGGTTAAGTCATAAGCTTCTCTCATATACAAACCATGTCACTGTGCCCTTTGACCTGAGATCATCATGGATTCCTACATGATGAAACGCTCAGCTTTGACCTAGTCAAAAGTCACTTTTGACCGAGTGATCATAAAGACTATGTTCAGGCTTAGTGGTTTTTCATGCGGAGGAATGTGAATGGTCAAGATGGAATTTGTCCCTCACATTTGTAGAGAGATATTACTGGGCCCCTCGACGAGTGAATCTGAGAAATGTATGGCCATACTATAATGGAAAGATAGTTCCGTTTCTATACTCAGACTACTCAGGGATCGAGAAAGTAACGGTCATGAATAGGAGGATGACGTTCTTCATGCCTCATCCATGACCAAAATGTCGTGTGACAAAAGGGACGTGATATGGTTGTATGAAAGGTTACATCGTTCAACGATCCTCATATGATTTGGGTAGTCGTAATGTCTTGCTAGAGACCGCTTACGACTTGTGAGTCATTATAGTTAATGGCCCACTGCCAACTTCATATGGGCCTACAGGGTCGCACACAAAATAGCCCAACACGAGTTATGATGTCCAGATTCATTGAATCTAAGATATGTCCAGATTCAATGAATAATATAGGGTGGACGTGTATATATATATATATAAAAATTCGTATATATATATAAATTCATATATATATACATATTATATAAATATAAGAGATATTAATTGTTAGATTTAATTTATAAGAATAAATTAAATTTATATAAATTAATTCCGTCATATTTTTATTTTGAATTAAATAAATAGGTGAATTAAATTTATGAGACAGATTTAATATAAACCATATTTATTTAATTGTTCTCTTATTTGATTAGGCAATATTTGATATTGCATTAATTTCGGAATTAATTTAGGATTAATTTTGAAATTAAATATCATTCATAATACCTATAGCATCCTATATATTTGATATTAGGAGCTAGGGTTTTAAGTGAGAGAGTGAAAACACTTGCAGATAAGAGACGGCCAAAAATTGGAGAAGGTAGACGGATTCTTTGAAAAACCCTAGACGGACAAAGAGACGCTAGCACGTCGTTCATGATTGGAGAGCTATTCGTGTGGATACCGGTAGAGGAAACCGACCGGAGTTGTCGACTTCGAACGACAAAGGAGGCGAGCAGAGGCATCCTGAACGGCGGAATCACCGAGCCACCAAGAAATCGAACATCGAAGGTAATGCTTCTTACTACTTGACTTAAACACAATCGGTAGATCCGGGCAAGGGATTGAAATTTTAAATTTATTTTCCGTTGCACGTTTTTCAATTCCCTTCATTATCATTATAAAATAAAGAAAGCGATGGATGGACACGCTTCGCATGGAAAGAGGATGGAAGCAAATTTCCTCGTACTGTCATAAAAAATCATAGAGTTGCTTTCATTCTCTTATTATTATTATTATTTATTTATGATGTAATATGACAGTTGTGAGCCTTTGCCCAGTCCATGTATATTTTTTGTAAAATATTATTAGTAAACAATATATGCATTGTGAGTAGTTTTCAACCTGCTGCGTTTGCAGGGGTTGAAAAATCATTCTATATTAATAAAATAATAAATATGTTATTTATGATCAATGTATTTTATGTTATTGTCTCATAGGATGTCCAACGCAACTCCAAACGCATTACGCACATCTCATATATTTATTTTGTAAAATAATAATGCGCAGACATAACTCAAAAATTAGTATATTTATAATTTCATATCAATCATCAACTTTCATGTAAATAACTTGATGTCTTGATCAAGTGATCTAAAAATTTCTTAGACTTTGTCTTTAAGTTCGTTACTTCAAGATTTTGAAAAAATAAAATTAAATTTGAGCCTTATCTGAGTTTTCTAAAAATTTAGTCTACCCGTGTTCTTATAGCCAAAAGGCCGCAAAAAATCATCCATAAAAATTAAAATATAGCCGGGAGACCTAATATTTTATATTTTAGGGAATCTAAACAATAAGCATGGTTACGTCTATCAGCACATATTAGTCCCCGGAAAAAAATATTTTGACTTAATCGATTAACCAATTCTTTAAAATATCCTACGTACAAAAATAAAAAGAAAACTCTATAAACAATCAAACAATTCATTTTCTCACCAACTTCATATTTCTCCTTGCCGCTGTCTCTTTCTCCACAGACAAGGTCCTCATTTTGATTGTTCCATTAGTTATGTTTCCTGGAAAAATCTATAAAATGTTAAGAGCAAGACTGTACTACGCACAGGGAAAAATTGGAGTTATCCTCTGGCCAGAATGACATGATGCATCCTTATATACTCCTCTGATATTAAATGTAAGACTCATTCTTATAGTGTAAATTATATTACAAAATGGATCTTACATTCAAAGACAGGAGGAAGTATAAACACACATACATATATACTACCATATAATATTCATAAGAAAAATTAAATCAGAACAAACAAACTCACATCTTATATTACCTCTAGTCCTAAATATCTTGAAGTTAGATAATAAATTTACCTTGATTCTAAATATATGACCTTAATCCACTTTGTTTCCAAAATTTATAATTTTTTTTTACTTAATGCAACTCTATTAATTGCACATATTAAGAGGATTTCCAATCATGGGTAACTCCAATGCACATGACCAAATTGTGACAGTTTAGGGAAAATAAGACACATTTATTACAACTAACTTTTTTTTAATAAGATAAAACTAACTTAACTAACTTTCTTAATATCCGCAAATTAGTTATTTATTTTTTATATTAAGGATATGAGGTAGTATTAGAATATCAGTTACGTAAAAAGGTGGATCCTGAATTTGGCCGGAAAAAAAAAAAAAGGTGGATCCTGAATCTTCAGATAACTCTATTCAAATAACACAAAAGAAAGTTGCCGTCAACATCTTCCAGTCCTTTTGTTCATTACTTTTCATCCAAAAATAAGTCGTGTCTCATATATTCAATGTAAGAACTACTCAACTTATTTATATAAATAAAAAATTAAATAAATTAATTATTTATTATAAAAATGTATTTTAGTTTCTTTATCTTATCTTTTAATAATTTACATATTAAAGTATTATCAATACAATTAATATAATATATAAAAATCTAATAATAGAATAGTTTGGGAAAAAAATAAATATGAGAGACATATAAAATTAAGGTACTATATCTATGACTAAAAGAAATCCCAACTAACTTGAACATGTACAACGGAAGGATGTATTACTTACTTTTATTGCTTTTTGCTATTTCTTTCATTTTTTTTCTTCTGCCCTGCTGTGCACGATTTTTTTAAATATCTCTTTGTTTAGGTCTGGGGTACGCAGCAAATGATAAAAGGAAAAGTTAATTAGCGCTGTTTTGACAAATTAGATTTGTTTGAAAAGTATCATTGAACTTAAAAGTTTTAAAAAGCGTAGATTGATAAGAAAGGTTGTGCTTATCTGGGGAGTTAAATTATTAATTAGCCAAACCAGAAATATTTTACTAATATATATTATTGAATTAGATTTTACATACTCCTTTACTTGGTAAACCTATATGTGCCTATTTGACTGGCCTGTAATATTAGTCGACTATCAAGCTAAGCTACTTTATAAACGCGCTCACCTAATGGCTAGTTTTAGTGAGTGACGCTATATGTGGCATTGTAATAGTGAGGCTGAATGGAGTAAGTGTTAATGGTTGATAGTATTATTGAGCGCATATCCTAGCTGTTACATGTAACTATTTCGGTTAGGATGGAACCAACCATAGAACTGACTAGATATAGGACTCTATAGTATAAATACAACTATTCATGTACACTTGGTTAAACAAGAAGTGAACTCTCTCTCTCTCTCTCTCCCCCCTCTCAACCTGCACCAATTTGGTATTAAAGCTGTTGTCTAGTGTCACACCTTACTTATATAATACCTTAGCATTCATTTAGAACCATTCCAGACCACTTTGGATGGTCTTAAGCTTAAAAATATCAATTTGGACGTTAATTTTCAGAAAATTACTGTTCACTGTCCAGTTTTCAGATTACAGGTCCAACTTTGAAAAACCATAACTAATTCTAGAAAAATCGTATGGAGGTGTTTCAAAATTCTATAGAAAGCTCTTTCAATGCTCTTTGAGGGAAAAATATTCAACTGAACTCATCATCACTGAAAACGTACAGTTTATTCGATTAAGATTACTATTCGTTTGGAAAAATCTGGACTTTCCAGATTCTGCGCCTTAACTTTGAAAATTC